CTAGCGCAGATGCATCCACTCCTTGTGACTTATAATTTCCAATGAAACTATTTTTTCCTTCGTTATTACTATTCCTTTGTCCCACACCTCTGTTTACTGTCTCTATTATGCATTTCTTCTACTTTCTTCTCTTGCTTTGTGTGCTACATGGAGTGTAGTGACTTGAACTGTTGCACATCGGTGCAGAGTTCTATGTGGAAAACAGACAGACATGACACTGGTTGGCAGTTGCGGTATATGTTGTGAATCAGCATAGTTAGGATTGGTGGGCCATTTGATTTCGTTAAATGCCCAACGAGCTCGTCATGTAACCACCTGAAGGTACTGAGTTCGACCCCTGACGGGATCATGGATGCGTACTGATGAAGAATATCAAAATAGGACAAGAGAGCTGTTCAGTACTCCCTGGTTTTCAGCTGAAATGAATTCCTCATCAGTTGTGGTCTTTCTTTCAATTAATTATTGTAACAATATTTTACCCTTAGGTGTGATTCATGGAAAGAGTTGAAATTTCTTTACTCGCAACAGTCCTTACTTTCATGTGACCAGCCTTCTTATCCAACCAACACAGGAGTTCGTGCAGATTCATGCTTCCTGACAAAACAAATACGGCCTGCTTAAAACTTGGGCTACCAAAAACTTCCATCTCTCTATTGTATATCAATAGGAGACCACCTAGTGCCAACAGTCAATCAAATCTGTCTATACTGATTTCCGCTTTCGTTTCGCAAGTTCCTACTAAACTTGAGGAGAGGGCTGGCTGATTGTGGGTGGCAGCCTATTCCAATACATGAGATAACTTCTTCACTGATGTCCTTGAGTCTCGAAATATACTGCTGAACATCTTATAATTGGCTTTCAACTAGATATATCGTGGATTTCTTGAAGGAGACAAAGCAGACATGCCATAATAGAATGGTTTGTGTTTCAGTTCAGAAACTATTGTATCACAGGATATACTGTCAATTAATATTTTCAGGTATTGGTTTTGTAGGGATTTTTTGTTTGATTGCATGGAGGATTTCATCATGAGCTGACATCAGTTAGAGAACCACTGGTACACCTGGGAGTACTGGACAGCTGTTTCCTCCTGGTTTGGGACGCACCCACCACCAGGGTTCAAACCCAGGAGCTTCTAAACAAATTTCTACAAAACCAGTACCAGAGAATTCATCTGATGCTCACTAGCGACTGGCCCTATTCAGACAGTTAACCTACGGTTCTAGTAGGAAGCCGTGACCAGTAGGTACAGCAGGCTGAAGATGAGGCAGTAACTCATCGAAGAAGACATTGCGAAACGGTCGCGCTATGTTGTGAATTGGCAGAAGTTAGAATTCAAGGACCACTGGATCGGGTCCGAGTGAGTGGCTCAACGGTCTACGAGCAAGCTCGCCTTGTAACCAGAAGGTCCTGGGTTTGAACCCTGGCGGTGGGTGCGTCCCAAACCAGGAGGAAACAGCTGTCCAGTACTCCCAGGTTTACCAGTGGTTCGCTAACTGATGTCAGCTCGTGATGAAATGCTCCATGCGATTAATATTTTACTTGAAGATATTGTACGAAGGGAAAATATCATGCAATAAACTGCTCTGGAAATCCTGTACGTTTTACAAATACTGTCCAGAATAAAGATTTTATTATTATTATGATAATACTTCATTACTCAGACGAAATGTCTGTCGAATGAATTCTATAGTTTACTTCTTATACACTTAGACAGTAATCAGTTTACATTAAGATCCTTTGCACTCATCATATCATAATTAGAAAACCAATGAATCCGTAGAAATTTCTTTGTCAGATTCATCTACGTGTAACTGCAAAAGTTTTTACCTCTTTCAGTGTTGAACACCCGGGTCCTAATATGCAGTTTTTAGGCAACTAAAGGATGCTGCTAACTCTTAAAAAACAAATATGATGAGCAGCGAAACATATCATCTCCCAATCTATTGATTAATAAGTATGTTTACCCACGTTTTCCCACCAGCTGAGTTTCAATATCTCCATCAATGGGAATCAACATCAAAATAAGGGCATTGAAGTTATCTACACTAAGCTTTAAGTGTGTATTCAATTGAGTTGACTAGCTTGCTAAATGAATTTACCCTCATCCTAGACGTTTAAGTACAAAACTATAGAGCTATAAGAGTATCTACACTTAAAGGAAACACGAAAAACAATGGGTCCACATGTGCCATTTCCGGAGAGGAATGTATACAAAGGAACATGCACACAAGGACAGCTTCAGACACCTTTCTTCAGTAACGTCTAAATCATTTACAAACCCGAAAACATAAACAAGCGCTTCCTACGCGTATGTATATCTCTGGTATTCAAACATTATTTTAATAATAAGGTTAAAACATGCTTTATGCTACCAAAGTAGACTGACTTGTTTTCCAACGCAGAACTTAGCACAGAAGTATAACAGTTCAAGTCAACACCTCCATGAAACACACATAGATGTATAGAAGGGCCACTATGAAAGGAGATAAATGGAAGAATGAATCAGTGGAGAACTTAATAGATCCGGCAGTTTATAAAGAATGAATACATCTGTTATGGGTAAAATTTTATTTGATGGTCTCACAGTGTTATACAGTAATATTTACTTACGATGTTTCGAGCACAGTTTATTGCTAACAATCATATCAAGGTACTGACACAACTTTCTAACTTCGTTTATATAATTCCATTATGCTTCATCACTTGACTTGATTGGTAGTAGTATTTTCCATATTTTCGATATGATTGATGAGTCATTCCTATTGCAAGTGTTTGGTGTAGACTCGATGAACAAGGATTCAGTAATCAACCTCTCTCTCCACCTATTTAGATTACTTTTTAGAATTTTAACCCTATCCCACCCATTGTATTGTGTGGTTGTGTGTGAATGCATGCATTGCGATTGCTGGGCTTTTTTCTAAATTACTTATCTTCTCTGGGTCAATCATTCTTACCTCAGCTAAATTCTTATGTTCCGACAATCTGACTACCCCCGACCTGCTAGCTTAACCTGTGTAATTGACCTCACAGTCATTGTAAGGTATTTCGTAAATTATATTATTTTGTCTCATTGGGTACTTTAACCTACAGAGCCTGTCCCTGAGTGAGTTTGTAGGTTTAAATGCCGCTTTAATTCCTGCTTTATTAAGAATCCTACGTAGGGTCTCGGATTTTCCCTCCTTATATGGTACATCAGTGAATACATCTGGTCTATTGAGACCGATCTTGAGCCATATCACCAAAAATCCCTAACTACTGATTCTTTAAGTCTCGAGGACCCTACGTAGCACAAGCCCAACGGTCAAAGACTTAGTGAGCTGATGCCACATTTTGGTTTGAACACCGTCCACTGACTCTTTTTCAACCTAACACTACTCGACACGGAAGACGGTGGCTCGAAATACGTAATAAGTGTTCCTACCTCGATGTTTTTCACTAAATTACACCAATTAACACAGGAGACTAGACACATACATCTATGATCAAAGAGAGTTAGCCTCCACTTCAACGACTGTATAGAAGGGCCACTATGAAAGGAGATAAATGGAAGAATGAATCAGTGGAGAACTTAATAGATCCGGCAGTTTATAAAGAATGAATACATCTGTTATGGGTAAAATTTTATTTGATGGTCTCACAGTGTTATACAGTAATATTTACTTACGATGTTTCGAGCACAGTTTATTGCTAACAATCATATCAAGGTACTGACACAACTTTCTAACTTCGTTTATATAATTCCATTATGCTTCATCACTTGACTTGATTGGTAGTAGTATTTTCCATATTTTCGATATGATTGATGAGTCATTCCTATTGCAAGTGTTTGGTGTAGACTCGATGAACAAGGATTCAGTAATCAACCTCTCTCTCCACCTATTTAGATTACTTTTTAGAATTTTAACCCTATCCCACCCATTGTATTGTGTGGTTGTGTGTGAATGCATGCATTGCGATTGCTGGGCTTTTTTCTAAATTACTTATCTTCTCTGGGTCAACCATTCTTACCTCAGCTAAATTCTTATGTTCCGACAATCTGACTACCCCCGACCTACTAGCTTAACCTGTGTAATTGACCTCACAGTCATTGTAAGGTATTTCGTAAATTATATTATTTTGTCTCATTGGGTACTTTAACCTACAGAGCCTGTCCCTGAGTGAGTTTGTAGGTTTAAATGCCGCTTTAATTCCTGCTTTATTAAGAATCCTACGTAGGGTCTCGGATTTTCCCTCCTTATATGGTACATCAGTGAATACATCTGGTCTATTGAGACCGATCTTGAGCCATATCACCAAAAATCCCTAACTACTGATTCTTTAAGTCTCGAGGACCCTACGTAGCACAAGCCCAACGGTCAAAGACTTAGTGAGCTGATGCCACATTTTGGTTTGAACACCGTCCACTGACTCTTTTTCAACCTAACACTACTCGACACGGAAGACGGTGGCTCGAAATACGTAATAAATGTTCCTACCTCGATGTTTTTCACTAAATTACACCAATTAACACAGGAGACTAGACACATACATCTATGATCAAAGAGAGTTAGCCTCCACTTCAACGACTGTCCCCGACAGTCGTATAAAAGGACAAAGCGTCCCGCTGAACAATACGTCCTTTGATCGGTGGTCGGATACCTCGTATACACCAGAAATGACGTCAGTTGACGGATGCCACGCAAGGCTTTCGTGTCTGTGCCAAGGTTTCACCAACAATCAGTCCCATTAGGAATGATACAACTTCTCGGATAAGTGAAGTGTTCAAAGACGCTCACAGTCACTTTACTCCCGATAAATAAACTGGAAGTCCGTGCAGACACCAGTCGTGGAGCATCATCTTAAATTCGACCGGGTAGAATCGTATACCCCAAACATGGTAAGATGTTTGCTAAAAGTGTCCAGAAGATACTGTCTTTGTCAGTGTCTTCATCGAAATGGAATATACTAATGAAATATAATCAATACTTGGAATCCAACAATAGCAAGAATAAATTACCAACTAACTTAAAGCATACTTCATACACTTATTCCATTTTATGCATCTGACTAGAGCAAAAACAAAGGTTTGCGCAGAATAAGATGGTACCATCCTTTATTTCATAGACTTCTCAATAGCTGTATGTATACAACCTGAAGAAATTATTAACTTTACGTACAAAACGGTTTTAACATACTTGCAAATGTGATATAATGTCAGTTGACGGAAGACTCCAAACTGAATAAACAGTGCACGTACACAGCTTATCAACAAAAACTTCAAGTCTAAGTAAAAAGTAAATGCTAAGATACAGTGGCGGAGGAGTTGCTTTATAAAGACAAGAAGCGGATAAGATGATGAGTAATCAACCAGTTGAGTAACAAGTTCAACACAAATCACACAAATAAATGATAAGCAAAACTATATTACAGAGAATGGAAAGAGTTTGCAGCCAGAGATTACATAATCAAATAAAAGAGAGAGAGAGAGAGATGACATCCAGTCATCAGGATAAGGCAAAACTGATGACTGCTTCTTTCTGAACAAATAAATCGGTTTACAAGCTTTTGATAGCAATTGCTTCGGCAAACTTGAGAAGAATAGAACTGTTTTGTCCATAGATAATTTTAAACGATTTCACGATGTCCACTTCAAAACTCGTATCGACGACACACCTGTCAATGGCACTATTGAAGGCGTTTGTTCCCTTGAGATGTATGCTGTTTTGTATGTGTTGAAAAACTCAGAGTACCTTTCTTTCTATTAGCCCAGTGTAACTGCTGTCGTAGATATATGTAAATTTGTATACACAATTAGAGCTAACATAAAAAGGCTATCTGTCGATTTTTGTTTGCACCAGAGAGCATGTTAACTGATAAACAGGAACCAGCTTCGCTGCAGGATAGGTTCTGTTGACTTTTAGCGCAATATAACCACCTTGCTGGAGAAGAGAACAAACATTCTCTATTTGTCCAAGTAAAGAATAGACTAGGAATAATAGGTCAATATTGAGAATCTATGAGCGGATATCAGTTCCTCCAATGCAAGTACGTCAGAACTGACGAGTGCCAATAAGCACGAAACCTAGGTGCAGTGCACGGCTTCCTGCCAATTGCATCCAACCATCTCATATACAATTCCATCTGAGAAAACACTGAAGTTGTTTTACTAAACAGAACATAATACTATGTAGAATTTAAAAAATGTAGAACAGTTCAATAACGCCTAGCAAACATACAAACTACCAACCACAAATTCAGATGCGATATCACGAATCTAATTCTGGTTAACTGACGCAAGGAACATTTCAACTATATTGAGTATAGAACTATCCACCACCCTTCACAGTAATGAAAAAGTTAAAACCAGCCAAGAAAAGTAATTATTTTGAAAATAAAAAAAACGATAACAACGAATTAAGGGGTCAATCGTTTCGGATCACGTGGGAACATTGATGTTTTCCTGATATTGTCAAGCCCAAGGAAGAGCATAGTTACTCGTTCAAGACCTGAAATTAAGTGTAACAAATTATATGATTAGAACTCATAAAGATATTCGCATTTGCAGGAAAAGAGAACTTATAAGAAAAAGCCAGATCACAGTTCATAGTAAAAATAAGTGCAACACGAAAGATGAAATACATTTCGACGATTAAAATTCAAGGTAAAGTAAGTAAAACCGCATAATTAATGGGCAGTTAAAACCCAAGTCAATCTTTGTGCGCTAAATATTTATACAAACAAAAGCCTATATACTGTGGTAAATGCTACTGATAAGATTTATTAGTAGTATATAAAAAGACGTTCATCGGCATTAAAACATCAAATAGCAGGCAGATACATTTGATTTCAGAGAAGGCAAATGATGCACCGTTATGGAGATACACAGGAGACGTGAAAGCAACACACCTTGAGCTGCAATCTACGAATGTTTGGCATGCGATTCGCTCCCGCCAAATGCAAGATGATGTTACAGGACTGGACTACACTGACTCCTAGTTTAGAAATAGGAAGTGAAGTGGTAGAGCACGTTGACCGATTCACTTACTTGGGAAGTACTATCAGCCAGTCCCAAGGGGTTGGTTGATCTCTGACGAAAATCTCAGCACGGATACAGAGGGCTAGTTTCGCATATGCCAGTTTACGCCGTCTCTGGCATAGACGTGATATCCGACTATCGACCAAAGGGTGTGTATACTGCTCATCAGTCCGCTCCGTCCTCCTTTATGGCTGTGAGACGTGGCAATTGGAGAGTGGAAGACATGAAAAGCGTGGCTAGCTGTCTTTGACCATAGGTGCCTGCACTCTATCTCCCGTGTGAAGTGGTATAATAAGGTGAGCAATATTGTGGTTAGGAGTCGAGTGCGGAAGGGGAAATCAATCGACGAGGCTGTGAAATCACATCAACTGAGATGGTTAGGACATGTGTTACGCATTCCTGCCTAGTCATCGCCTTCCTCGACAATGGGCAATGTTAACTGACATAGGGTCAGGCTGGAAAAGAGTTAGCGGTTGTCAAACCAAAACACGGCACCAGTCAATGAAATCTACAACAGTTAGTTTAAGCGGATCACGTAGGAAGTTGTAGACTTCCTGGTTGGGGTCCTCGGGACGGTAAAAACCAATGAAGGCCGGAAACAATTGGTGATATGACTCAAAATCGTTCTCAATGGCTAGCGCAGATGCATCCACTCCTTGTGACTTATAATTTCCAATGAAACTATTTTTTCCTTCGTTATTACTATTCCTTTGTCCCACACCTCTGTTTACTGTCTCTATTATGCATTTCTTCTACTTTCTTCTCTTGCTTTGTGTGCTACATGGAGTGTAGTGACTTGAACTGTTGCACATCGGTGCAGAGTTCTATGTCGAAAACAGACAGACAAAGAAACACAATATGAAGTCCAGAAGTACCACAACACGAAGATCTGTGGAAATTGCGCTTTTACCATAAGATATTTATTATTTGGCTATACAGAGATACCAATTACCAAATAAATATTCCTTTGCCAGATCTTTCGTCTTCTAACGTCACAATATACCATTGGCAAAGAAAGCTTCCGTAAAAAATTAGGGAATTCTTCTGTAAGATGAATTTATTGGCTGTGTACAATAACAGTCAGCTTTCTACCTCAATTTCATCGGCGTTGGAAGGGCATTCGATAGTGTCGACCATGAAGTAATTTGGAATCCACTTCAGTACTACGGAGTAGGCCAGATCATTATAAACCTAATTTAACAGTTGTTACATGATGACGACACATGTCAGCTGATTTATATAAAGAAAAGCTCGTCGATGCCTTTGAAGAGAAGACAAGACTCCCTACTATCCCTGATGACATCCCTCTCTAATTGTGGTGGACTGGATTATGTGTCAAACTGTACGTGGGGAGTGAGAAGACAAGAATACGCTGGACTGATTAGAAGACTCTAAAGTATCCGAACTTCGTGGATAATTTATGTCCCACAAACTTGAGGACTTACAGGCGGTAGATAGGACTTCAAGTGAACATAAATAATGCAGAAGTAATGAAGATGCCTAGCCAAAAACAACAACAATATCAGCCACCAACAAACGGGGAAGTCAAGGCAGTATCATTTCAACTACGGGCGATGGCACAGATGAAGAAGTCAAAGAAAAGATTGAGATGGGGCAAGACAGACCTTTATCACTCTGGAATCAGTACAGAAATCTACTGGACTCAGTATAAGGAACCAGACACGAATTTCCAACACTACTGTCACATCAGTGTGCTGTGTTGTTGGTTCAGAGACTTGGCACTTCACGAACAGTATTCTCAACAGGCTACTACAGATTTCCACCATTGGGCGTATTCGTTGGTTCGATATTGAAGATCAGATGCTCTAAAAGGGTAAGCAGCGAACCAACCATCAATGCCTATCTTAAAAATATGCAGAAGAGAATAGACAAACTCCGAGAAGACAGTTCACTGACGTCAAGAGCCAGGCATATCCTCGAGTAGAACCTGGATGGGAAACGGTGAGTTGGGCGTCACTTAGAGGATGATATGGAGAAGACAGTGTGAGGAGGACATGAAAGCTTGCAAGCAATCATAGAGCTAGCTAAAACAGATTGAAGAGAACAAGGTGGAAGAGAGATGTGCCATCAGAGCTCTATATTCCACTCGGAACCTAAGCGAATACAAATATTACAATTATAAATGTTTTACAGTCCTTCACATACTCATTTTAAGCGTGGTGAATTTTTTAATTCTCCAGTATCTGTATTAAACATTGGTACCATCGTTCAATATGGTGGTTAGGACGTTATCACCAAACAGTCTGTAGAAGATAAAAAAAATGTTATAACTCACCGATCCCACCGCCAGCATGAGGAGGACATCCATAACGAAAAGCATCAATATACGCTTTAATTTTTTCTACATCTATAATGAAAAAAGCGGATAGTCATATATGAACTGTGAAAACTGAAAGAGATAACAAATTTATACACTATACACAGAATTCAAATTACATTCATTCGAAGGGGCAGTTCAAATGAACAGTCTGATCTGAACATAACCTGTCCTACTATGTACCACTTTCTACAGTCATTTCTGTTTTCTTTAAGCTTATTACAAATTTGAAGGTATAGCCTTTATTTCCCTAATTTCTAACATCTACCATGAAATTATGATAAGAAGTGTGGTAAATAATACTGTCATATAATAATGCTAAATTTCATATTGGATATAAATTTAAGTGAATTTTAGATTTTCCCGTCGATTGACTGGGCCGAAGTGCTCGGCCTTAGGTTGGCATGTCGGCTTCTTGTGAAAGTGCTTCGACGATATCTGGGCATGTAATTAGAATTTAATTGGTGTATGGTGACTAGCAGTGGAATCCATGGTGCGTATTTCGTCCTGTTTGGAACTCGTCATCTGGGACGTCAACACTCACCGGGGAATGCAGGTACATCCAGATGACGAGTCCCAAGCAGGACGAAATGCGCATCCTGGATTCCACTGTTAGTCACCATACACCAACTAAAATGGATATAAATTTGCCTAAAATATATGAGATTAGAGTGTAAAGTGATCACAAGACAAATAAGTTAAGGCTATCGTATTCAAAAGTATGGGGACTTCAAGATTCAATCTCAAATGATGGAGTAGTTAAGTTGCCTCATTTAAACACAATCATTTTATTGACAGTGATGATGGTAAACATGGGTTAGAAGGAGAACAAAATAACGGTTAAGACATGTGAAATTTATGGTATTACTCACACAAGAAGTGTCTTGATTTTAACGGTCATATATACTTAAAGTATCTTTACTTTTGGAAACCTCAGCTATAACATATACAAAAAACTACTACAAATAAGAAAACATCCAGCTAGATACTTGGGTGAACTGATAATATGGATGATTTCAACTGATTAGGTTCCTTGCGTTAAGTTAAGCCAAGTACGCCGCTGACGAGAGAAACGACCGTCCGGTGTTTAGATAACCTAGATCTAACTAGCGAGTACTATGGTTTGATGTGACAGTAATATCCAACTACTGATATCAATCAAAGAGTATAGCGTGGTGCGTTTATACTCGCTTTCTTGGTCTGTATCAATGGTATCAAGCAGATCACACTTTGTGACCTGAACAATTCGTTTCCAAAGGAAACTGGTGAAATTTCCCCTTGAATTGCAGATTTCAAATTTGAACCTTAAACCTACCAAGTATTTAGGCCAATGAGTCCCATATATTCTGATCGAAAATATTTATCGTCAAGTAAATAACCTGAGCCATTGGGTCGGGTTCCAGTGGCTTAATGGTCTATAAGCTCGCCTTCTAACCAGAAGGTCTTGGGTTCGAACTTCTATGGTGAGTGCGTACTCTGTGGAGAGTCGCTAACTAGGACGAAACAGCTGTACAGTACTCCCAAGCATTACACTGGTCCTCTAACCGATGCCAGTTCATGATAAAATCCTGAAAATGCAATTAGACAAATGATAAAGGCACGATTAATTTTGTTCATCAGTGACTTTCATCACTGTAACGAGTATTTTTCACAAAGTTTAATCGTGCTCGTAGTTGTTTTGTTTTTTTTTCATAATAAATCCGGTTACTCATTATCAAATGAAGAATCTAACGTAATATATTGTTTAACATGCTAAGTACAAAAAGGTGTTCGGATACAATCAAATAACACTGTAACTTACCAACCCCATGATGTTTAGCACGTTCAGTTAAAAGGACTGGATCATGAATACGTTGTGCACCAGACATTATTTCTTCTCCACGCATGAAGAAATCATACGAATTGGAATAATTCTATTTGGTAGATAAGAAAAGGCATTTTGTTGCAGGTTATTTACGCTTTGAATAATAGCATGAATACACTATGAAATTGTTGACCTAACTCAAAATTGCTCATATAGTTTCAGAAGTGTCAAATTAAGTTTTTTTTTAAATAAATAAAAAACAGAATGATTATTTGCAAGTGAAAAGAGAAAACCTAAAATCAGAATACATCTCAAACAACAACAAGAAGAAGATCTCAAACGATTGCGTTTACTCGCAAGAATGTTGTTAACTGACATAGGATCAGGTTGGAAAAGAGACAGTGGTGGTGGTCAAATCAAAACATGACTTCGTCAGCCAATGAAATCCATAACAGTTAGTTTAAGCCAGTCGTCCACATAGGAAGGTGTAGACTTCCTGTTTAGAGTCCTCGGGACGGTAAAAACCAGTGAAGGCTGGAAACAATCGATGATATGACTCAAAATCGTTCTCAATGGTTAGCGCAGATGCATCCACTCCTTGTGACTTATGATTTCCAGTGAAACTATATTATTCTTTGTTATTACTATTCCTTTGTCCCACACCTCTGTCTACTGTCTCTAATTTGCATTTCTTCTTTCTTCTGTTGCTTTGTGTGCTACATGGAGTGTGGTAACTTGAACTGGTGCACATCGGTGCGAAGTTCTACGTTGAAACCAGTCAGTCAGTCAGTCACTCAAAAGAATCGAATGAAATAGTGTACGTATATCTGGAAACACGTAATCAGATATATCTCAGTGACCCAGTCAGTGGGAATCAGACGGAAAAAACACTTCAAAAATTAGTCGGACACAAAAGTCCGTACATTTGATTTCATTAGGCAATAAAAAAAGCTATTGTACAGTTCTAGTAGAATAACCAAACCTCAAGTGAATATGAATGGTTGGACACACACATGAAAATCCCTTAGAAACGACAGTTGCGAACATTTATTCAGCGACTACTAAACTATAATACAGTACCATTAATATTTTACTGGACGATATACATACGGTTTATTTTTAGACAGTACTTGTTTACTTGATTCTTGAATTGATGAGCTTTTATGCAAAGCATTTTACTGATTAGCAAACTAGTCGACTACCTGAAGTGTATATCACACATCAGTTGTTGTATAACCCTTCTTCTAGTTAACCTCTGTGTTATATTGATATAAGCATAAAACTTGGGCACTGTGGTAGAGTATAACTCCATCAGTTCATATAACTGTACAACACTGTGTGATTTATCAAAATAAAATCTGCGTTATATGTTTGGGAAAAGAATTTAGTTGACGTATTTTTTTATGAAAATTTCACCAACAACAAGACCTCTACATCGTGAAGATGATGATTTACAGAATATTCAAAAGTTTATGTAACAAAATTAAAAAAATCTCATGGGGTTAGAAAAATAAACTATTAAGAGATGAAGAATAATTCTGACTACAACAAACCAATCACAGTGGCTTGTTCAAAAGTAATGGTGAGAAGAACATACAGTGTGCAAATAGTTATGAGAAGTTAGAATTCATGGGTCACTGTATTTCACGTTCATCGTTTCAACTACAGGCGGAACTGACGAGGATATCAAAGCCAGAATCAGAAAAGCAACACAAGCTTTCACTACTCTCAAGTCTGTGTGGAGGTCAACAGAACTCAGCATGAAAATGAGAATAAGATCCGGATTTTTAACTCCAATGTGAAGTCAGTTCTACTAGCTATACGGATCAGAGACTTGGCGCGTCATAAAGAGCACCTCAAACAAACTACAGACCTTCATTAACAGTTGTTTTCGCTCAATACTCAAGATCAGATGGCCAGAAAAGATCAACAACAGGAATCTCTGGGAGCAAACCAATCAGGAACCGATTGTGCAACAAATAAGCAGGAAGAAATGGAGATGGATTGGCCATACTCTGAGAAAACCATCAAGTGACATCACTAGACAATCCATTGCTCGAGTGGAACCCGAAAGGGAAGCGGCGAGTTGGTCGTCAGTTCGAGGGTGACTTGGAGGAGGTCATGTGAAGAGGAGATGAAAGCATGTGGGCAGACTTGGAGCCAGGTGAAAACTTCAGCAGAGAACCGAAAGCAATGGAGACGTGCAGCTGAAGCCCTATGTTCCTCTAGGAATTAAAGGAAATAATAATATATTTCATGTCAGTGAATGAATGATCAAAGGGCTAGCTGATAGTCCTGGGTACGATCCTCAGTGTGGTCATAGGTACGTACTGTCGAAGAGTTTCGGACTAGGACAAAACAGCTGCCTGGCACTCCATAGTTTTCAGTGATTCAGAACTAGCCTTTTCAAATCTCTTGAAAAGAAATTCTCTTCCTAGTTTCAAGATAGGAAGTGGAGTGGTTGCGTTGACCAGTTAACTTATTTGGAGGTTTGAATTAGCTCTAGTCGAGTGATTACTGACGAAATCTCAGCACGGATACAAAAAGTTTGTGCGGCGCTTGCCGACTTACACCACCTCTGATGTAGACGTGATATCCGGCTATCGATTAAAAGAAGTGTATATCGTATAGCGGTTCGCTCTACACTCTTTTATGGCTGTGAGACAGTCATTGAGAAAGGAGGCTAGCTGTCTTTAATCACTGACGTTTGAGTCCTGTCTACCGTGTAAAGTGGTGGGATTTGATGAGAAACGTTGAGGTTAGAGGTAGAGTATTGGGAAAGAAAGGTAAGTCAATCGATGAGGCTGAGACCACATCTGTTGATATGGTTAAGACACATGTAATGCATGCTAGACCACAGCTTTCGTCGAATGACTTTAGCTGATATATGAATAGGTTGGGAAAGAAGTTTGAGGTGGCCAAATCAAAACCTGGGATCAATCCACGAACTCTTTGATTGTTATTTTAAGCCATTAAGAAGGGTGTAGACTATTTGTCTGGGTTCTTCGAGACGCTAAGACACAATGGCTGGAGGACCTGACTGGAAGTCGTTTTCAATTATTTTTATAAACTGTCGGATCCACTTCCTTCTCACTGTTCTCCATGTAATTATTTTTTCTCTCATACATCTCAGTCTGTTATAGTCCTTTTGCATTCTTTTCTCTCTACATTTATGTGTACTTTATGAAATGGCAACTTCAACCGCCACACTTATGTACAAAGTTCCACGTTGAAAATTCGATAATTTCGACAACCTTATGACATCGCCAAATTTGGTCTCCCTAAAATACACAAAGCGGGAATTGTTTTTGTCCGGTTTTAGATAAGCATGATTCTCTATATCATAGAACAGCAAAGTGCAACCAGTGAGCATTTTGTCTTCAATAATACATATTATGATTAAGTGAAAAAAATCGATATTGACCTATGATTAAGTCCCATTTAGCAGACTTCCTGGTGAAACTAAAAATCGGGTCGTCAAATAATGTCACCAACGAATTGGATGTGTATTACCGTTATTTAGATGATATATTATTATGATTGGAGTTTTGAAGTAATGAAAAATGGAATAAACAAATATCTGCCAAATACTCCTACGATAATTTTTGAAAACGAAGATGTGGGATATCAAGACACCAGTGAAAACGCCTTTATTACATGAAATGTCTAGAGCTGACTGTCAAACAGCTGGCTCATTGGTCCAAGCACTCGACTTCCAACTAGGAGGTCACGGGTTCGAGTCCCATCCCACCTACCGAGGTTTAGGTCTGTCTGTCTGTTTTCGACATAGAACTTTACACAAATGTGCGGAAGTTCAAGTCGCCACACTCCATGTAGCACGCGAAGCAAGAGAAGAAAGTACAAGAAAAGCATAATAGAAACAGTGAGCAGATGTGTGAGACAAAGGAGTAATAAAGAAAAACAAAACAGTTTCATTGGAGATCATAAGTCACAAGGAGTGGATGCATCTGCGCCACTGAGAACGATTTTGAGCCATGTCACCAATTGTTTCCAACCATAGATTTTTACCGTCCCGAGGACCCCAGCCTGGAAGTCTACACCTTCCTACGTGGCTTAGACCAACTGTTGTGGATTTCATTGACTGGTGCCAAGTTTTTGTTTGACCGCCGCTAGCTTTTTTCCAGCCTGACCCTATATCCATCTAGTGTTATTAACCCTGAAACAACAGGTGTGATTCAATGCCAATCGCAAGGGATTGCAAGTGGTTGTTGAGTAACATTCATATGTGAATTAAAACCACGAAATTAATTCCCGTGAATACGAAAAGGAGCTGCATTTTTGCATTAAGAATGTGCTTCCATAAAACAGGTGGATCCACAACGCGTTAAGCAAACGAAAATAGAAAATATGAATGACTTAACAAAGAAAATCAAAATTATTAATAAAATCCCTATAACTTGTTTATCAAATATAGGTAACATACTTTATCAGTAGGATGTGGCATCGTATAGAACGCCCGGATATCCAGTGGAAATTTATCAAGAATATAAAAGTCTGTATGATATTTCTCCTTAACCAGCTTTCCAAGAAACTTCTCAGCAGGTGTACTCAAATCATCTAGTTCCCCGATCTCCCAACCAGCATCTTGTAACAACTGAATGCCTTCTTTATACTGCAAACGTAACCTTCAAATAGACACACAAAGAAATTTCAGACACATGCAAGGTGTATATTGCATTGCTTAAGATTGATACATATCCGCTACTATATTTGCATAATTTATAACATAATACTTGTTTATAGATGTGATACAAGAGGCATAAACATACGTGGGTTCCAGGAATTCAAAAGGTTCAGAATGATATTGCTGACATATTGTTTGAATTTCAGTTTGGAACCTAAATCAAATGACATGAAAAACGGAATTAGAATCTTGTTTTGACATTTGGCATGACATAAATCACATTTTGAAACCAGGACGAACATGAAACACCTGAAAGTACACACAAACCATAAAGAAAAGAAAATTGGTGATTAGATAAACTAATACCTCCCACCCCCTGTTGCCTACGGCCCATACTCAAGATTAGATGACCAGGAAGGGTAAGCAACAGGGACCTCCGGAAACGAATCCACCAACAATCTATTACCCCAACAAATATGCCTACAGAAATAGAGTTGTGACAAAGACACATTCTGAGAAGATCGTTGAATGACATCGCGTGGCAGGCCCTCAATTGGAGCCAAAATAGAAAACAGAGAGTTGGGTGTCACTTAGAAGGTGACATGGGAAAGATCGTGCAAGGAGAAGACAAAAACTTATGGGCAATTGTTGGATCAGCTAAGGAGGGCTGCAGAGAATAAGATGAAATGAAGATATGTCGATGAAGCCCCACGCTCCACTCGGAACCCGAGGTAATAATGCCTCTTACTAATGTCCATCGGCAAAATATAACTGCATTAACCAAACAGTGTGGTTACAGGTCAAAGAAGAAATACCTTACTTGTGAATTAAGTAAGCACTGTTCTGTTTAAACACCAAGTAAATTAAAGAAAACAAATACTAATTTTTAAGTATCTCACAAATATTTAAATTACAGTAATTCTTACTCGCGTTGTAATCCTTTGAACATGTTAACAAACATGTCTGCAATCAAATCAACTACCTCATGATAGTGATTTTTGAAGGCCATTTCTAAGTCTAAACCGACAAATTCTGTTAGATGTCGATGGGTGTTAGAATCTTCAGCACGAAATACTGCACCTATTGTGAATACCTGTATATGAAACATAAATAATAATAATAAAGGAAATTTGTAGGTTCAAGAGGATGGTTTAAATTAAGAAGCTTTCATTTATTCTTCTGGACATCCACAAAACTAACTTTAATGTCAGCTGACTTCACATCAAACGGTTTAGCTGATAGAGCACATCAAGACCAAAACAAATAAACAAATTGTTATTTTTTTTCTACTCAAACCAGATAGTGATTATTGGCAATATTGACTTTTTAATGGAAAACAAAACTGCACTTTAAAAAATGTAGATAAGGAGAAGAAACGATAAAATAGATAAGATAATACAAATTAATCAAGCTTTAAGGTTTAGTCAAATATCTTATTATTATAAGAATTTTGAAAGTTATGCTCAAGGAATTAGAGAACTGAAGTGCATATGAAAGTGTGAATGGTCACTGAGCCCGAATAGCTCAGTGGTAACGTCTCTGACTGCAGCACTGGGTGACGCAGGTTCGAATCTCAGAAGGGGGACATGAGTTCCTTCAAGGTTGCAGATATGCCTGCCTTGCTGATTGGTGAGTGTCAACCGGCATGAAACCTAGGTCCAATGCTTCCTGCCAATCGCCTCCAACCATCTAATATCATCAAATCAATGTGCACTGTGATGGCGAGCTACCTAGAATGGTGGCCATATTACAAACGTGACTGATAGAATTCAGTCTGCACTAAAGATAGGACTAGACACGTCACAGTATTTACTAGTGTCCAATCAAAGTGTAATTAGATCAGGAAATATCATTACAAATAGTAAAAGGTCGAACCAAATGAGTTACAAACACCGTCAACGTTACTGATTATAATTCTATTTTACTTTTATTTATTTTTTTGGTTATAGCTTGATTCCACACCGTATTTTTGGTACAATTTGCAATGCTGATTCCTGGTTATGATAATTCAGTACACACAATTTGAGGCAGCACTAAAATGATGATGAACGAACATTGCATTTAGTCAACATCATGAATTTCAAATTCACTGAAGCATACAAAAATATATAAGAAGTCTTAGTTTACTCTGGAGATCGAACACTCTAAATATTGGCTTAAACATGAAAGATCCCACCAACGAGTAGCAAGTTTAAATACTGCCCCAAACACTAAAATTTGGACAATCAGAAGATACTACTAAGTCATAAAGGTAAACACAATTTAGTTTATAAATAAAATTCGGTAAGTTGGTGGTTCAATAACAGAAAGCTCGACAAGGTGGTTCGAGTTTGATTACCAGTCGACTCACTGCAAAATCTCGTTTAACCGGTAGTAAGCATAGTAAAAAGGGAATGTCGAGTTCAAGGTTAGCAACCCTACCCCGTAAAAACAACACCATTACTACTGGAAAGTCAAAGCTGGAACTTAAAGCCTTATGTTCCATGTGAAACATAAAGCAACAAAAAAATACAATGTATCTGGGAAGTGTGCCTTAAGACCATGCATTTATTGACTGATCACTGTTGAAATAAAAGCATGAAGAAGTAAGCATATTGGTTGACAGACCAAGTCCATAACACTAGCCTGAATACACAGGTAGCATCATGAACTAGTTTATGTTTTGGCATAATAATTCCCCCTTTGCCTTTGAAACTTGACATGATAAGCATAAAATAAACATACTTTTTCAAAGTCGGCAGCTATAGCCATTTGCTTATATAACTGAGGTGACTGAGCGAGATAGGCACTTCCGGAAAAGTACGACACCTTGAATACATTGGCACCTCCTTCAGAAGCTGCTGAAATCATCTTGGGAGTATGTATATTTACAAAACCAGCTTTCGTAAGATACTCCATAAAGAAGCGTACTACACCAGCTTCAACTCGATAAATGGCTTGATTCACTGGAGTACGCAGATCGATACACCTGTTATCCAAACGAGTGTCTTGGTTAACTCGACTTAATGTCTAGCAATAGAGTCGATAATGAAAAATAAAACAGAATTTTGAAGGATTTGGATTATATAACAGTTTAAACACTGGTAAACAAAAGCTGTATTTTAAGAAGAATAAATTTATCAGCTGTCTCTTAATATGTGCACAGAACATTTAAATGACATACCGATGAAATGCAGCTACACATAGCTATGAAAATTTCATCGCGTTAAAAAGTAGGCAGAACACCCTTATGATGCTACATATAGCCTGTATAATGATACAACTTGACTTCATAACTTTATTTATCACAAGACTTGGAAAACTATGCATTGTAAAACTATTGGAATGCATGGATGAGCTTTGATATAAGGATCACTGGATATCGTCTCACTTTTAAAGCCTTGCTCAAGAACCTTTACACTCTCTTGAGCCAATAATACAGAATCCTTAGTGTTAACACAATACTGTTGAGTCAATGTGCCATGAATCTACACGGCTTCAATCCAACAGTACAATGACCTTTCAATCCCTTAGAATAGATTCAACGTCGAGGACGCAGAACATTAAACAAAATTGAAAAATAATTCTTCAGCTATATAACATCCCCAAGTTTTCAGTTCTAGAATGATGCGGCGTACGAAATACTTTTTTTCACCTGAAAAAGATCATTCAATTACAATAAATAACAAAGTTTCAGAGAATCCTAAATCCGAAAAATTAAATTAAAACAAGCTACACATGACTGTTTACTGCTTATAGTTATCTGTGTAGAGGGAGGGGGTTAAAACTGAACATCACGAAAGCAATAAAACTAACCGTTTCATCATCTTCTGGTCTCATGGCATCTTCGATTTGCAGAGGTAAAGTTGCAAGTGCAGAACTCACAACAAAAACCTTTTCGCAATGAATTTCAATATTGCCTGGATTGCAACCTTCAATAAGAACTGGGCTTTTTACAACTCTTCCATAAACATCAATCACTGATTCTTTAGAAATGCTATGTTAAAATAAACAGATAGATCACAACAGAAGACTAAAAAAGGTTGTGGCAATTCAGAAAATGATAAAACCACCAATAACCAGATTGAGAACTATGGGGAGGACCGCAATTAGCGTAGCGCTCTAATCATAAGATACAACTCAGTTTATATTTCTATTCTCCCCTTACGCATCTACCCAGTTATTTGAATTAGAGATGCTGGATCCCATCTGAATCTATCCGAACTCCTGGATGATCACGGGGAAACGGTATTGAAAGCAATGGAATTCATCGTTTAACGAAGGAAAAATACATGCTTCTGATCATGACGCATTCATCAATAATGAACGCAAGTATTAGCTACATAATGTATTTTTTACAAAGACTGATATCAGCGTTTTGCCACAGACAAAAACAGTCTTAGGCTAGATTTTTGTCATTTGTAGGTGGTAAAAGAAAGGGATGACAAACTCAAAATAAACAACCAACAGGAACAAAACGAATCACTGGAAATGGTCCAGTTACTTGTCAAATGGTACATATATTATGAAATAAATTTCAAAACTATGAGTTTTACATAATAGTCACAGTCAGTACTCTGTTTATGTGTGGCCGATCTCTCTCAACAAGTGATAGGACCAATAGCAATTATTCAACAATATTTGCAAGCATGTAATTAAGAGACTACTTAAGTATATTTATTGAAATCCAGGAGGTGCACGACGACTGAATTATGTCGACTTGTGTACACCAATAATTGGGAGGTATTTAGTAGTGATAAAAAGCCTGGATTCCTAAAGCGTTAGTCGTTAACGTTTGTTTCCACTTCATCTCACCCCTTCTGTTCCCCTTTTGGGTGTTTCGAACTGCAGTAGCCCAAATGAATGCATATTCCGCGTTTTCCTCATATAATACAGGGAAACAATACGATAACAGTTTTAGTTAGTCCTACACTACATGTAAATCAGGAAAAAACGTTGCATAACTACACAGTAGATAATAAAATATTTCGTGCAACGACTTTCATGACACCAAATTTACTTTGAAACAAGCAATAAAAGTTAATACAGCTTCATTAACCTTTATTGCTTGTTTTAAATTCGTATCGGGAAATAAATGTTTTCATATTTACTTTGAGATGTGGTTCACTTAGATGAATGAAGGCAACGAAGGTGGACTAGACAAAGTATTTGCCACCCAATGACAAAGTACAAAATCCTAAACCTGTGTTACTGTTTAGTCAAGCAACTGAAATAAGAATTCAGTAGCAATTTAACCCCGTAGAGCTAGTTGTTGATGATGATCGAAACAGATCGGGAAATCACAAAAATACAAAGCGTTATAATGCTCATCCAAACATAGCAAACAGTCGGAAACCTCAACCAATAGTACTACTGAGTCACTCAGTAATTGGTTCTATGCAAAAGGTTGACATCCATATCAAAATATAATTATAGCAGCAGTGGATGAACTACGGTGTACATTCATGAGGATATGTTTCCCTACAATAATACCCATTTTCTCTGCCATAATTCTATAATTAGTCTAGCTTAATAAAACCCCTTAATCTGTGAGATTTTAAAAGTAATTTCACTCAGTACAAGTAAACTTTAGATATTTACAGAAACAAACTTTTAGCCTCAACAATTACCTGGAGACGAATGCCAGCATCTCTTTCGGAGCTTTTTCACTAACTGAAAGTACATTTTGCACCCTGTAGTCTTGGAGTCTTAGAATGAAGAAACATAGTTTGCCTTTCATTCTGCTTCTGTGGAGACGTCCACGAACCCAAACGTGTTGATCGATAAAAGATTCTTCAGATAATTCTCGCAATTCAGTGTATTTTGGTCCTTGTGTGAACTGAGACTGATGAAGTGGGAGAAGACCATAGGCTTCAGTGGTTTCAAGTACTCCATTACATGTCAATGTGGACACCACAGGGATTTTCTACATGTTGTATTCCATATCAACTTCATAATTGCTTAATTACCTGATCATCTCCCGTTTCATGAATCTTGAGTTTTTCTGTTTCCCTCTGAAGTTTTCGCAATGCTTTCTTAGACTTTCTATCATCATCCTGTGCAGTAGTTTCTGGCATCACGTCGAATTTCAAAGGTATGCCACTAGGTCGCGACCTTGAACGGTGGCTTTAGACGAAAGATAGTACTGGCGTTTGTGTGTGACAAAATAATGCTGTTATCAGGCCATCAGTTTGAAAATATTTTTGGTCTAAGTCTGCAGTGGTAGCGATGTATCACTGATATGCTTTGTGGCTTACTGGGATATGTATCCTTACCTTTGCTCAAATTTCCAGAATCAAATATATCCCCTATCATTTTTACGAGCTAGTATAAACCAACTTGATATCTTTGTGCTCGCCTCTTGATTGTGAGGTATAAGTTCCTGATCTTCGGTAAATTTCTGCGTAGCTCGTCCCGCCACTCGACTGGATATCTTTTTGACAAGCTTGTATTAAACTAATGATTTCTTGTCACTCGCTTCTTGATGTCTATAAAAGCTTTAAGGTTTCTGGCGGACTTCGGCACAATCTGTCTCGTCTACCATGGCAGCCATACTGAACGCATTAAGAGAAGTTACATCAGTTGATTTTGTGGAGAATGAATGATTTGTAACAAGGTAGTGGCATTGTTGGGACTTTTAAATTTCGCTTCACCGATAAATCCTCCGGCTAGATCAACAACGACTAGAAAAAACCACTGTAGTTTATTTGAGAGGGAAGCCAAGGAGTTATTGTATTATACAAATTTAAGACCGAGTAAAACGACTGGGTATCTAGTTGAAATTAGCTGGGAAGGAGTTCAAAATCATTCAAGCAGCCCAACTAACTGGCTTCCTAAAGTCAGTGAGTCCGAAGTGAACTATGCTGAATCAGTCCCTTTCTTGACCAATATCATCATCCAGTGCTTGCTATATCACATCGTCGTGTTTCCAGCCAACAGCTGCACCTCGGCAATAATTCTGGTGAGTTAACCACTAATGTCATCTGCATTACTATCCCTGATTCACACGTCACAGTTTAAAGCAGCTATTTTAAACCAGTCGTACGGAAGCAAAGATGTCAAAATAATCAGGATGCTGCAGGAAGATAGACACACCCAATCAACAGGAAGTAACTCGGGCGAGTTTCCCTCGGGTTTATTTTTTACCAGTGTTTATTATGCGAATGTTTTGAGCCCTAGTATCTTTTTCACTGGTCACGTAACATTTTCAAATGATTACTGTAAACTTTGTGGTACGTTAGATGCGTTACCGTCCTTCTTGTGACCTTATTTTTGCTCAGTGTGAGGTTTTTTCTGAAATACAACAGATTATACTCATATGGGCGCCAAATTAGTGCAACATGCCAACACACAAAAGTATGTTGCATTCACTTAACCACGATTGATTACAGCCTAAACTAAAAATGATCAACACAACAATAAAGTATTCAGCATTAGCTCTGCACCAAGAGGATAGCACGTATTGCTAAATTATTATTACTATTCTCACTTTGAACTGTCTCCGGTATTATTTCACTTATTCCACTTGTAATTATGAATCAATTCTTTTACAACGATAAATTCTATGCCATTAAGTTTCACACAATATTACGAAAGGTTTTTCATTTATTCGATTTGTCTACTAATCCTATAAACGCACAACATTTCTCAAGTTCTATCCATCATATGAATTATTCTATATATCACATTAATTTGCTTTCCCACATCACATATAAATACGATATTCACTTGATATTTAAACCAGTTTGAAATCATGATGAGTGGTTGTTTATTAAATGATGAAATGGAGTTAATGTATTTGATGAAGTACTGTACTGGAGTTGCTTCAAGAGCTATACAGTGCTGTAAGTTCATGCCCCTAAAGGAAGGATACTCTGAGGCCATGAGTATACTGCGTCAAAGATTCGGAAGAACTTCGATGATTGTAAGGAACGTATTCGAGGATGTTAAAGGTAATGGCAGTCAATTACAAGATGACTCCAAGGCACTCAATGAGTTTTCGGATAATCTGTTGACTTACAAGAATGCATTGATTTCGATGAATTGCATGAGTAACCTCATCTCGAGCACAGTCCTAGAGGTAATAGCGAGACGCCTACCTACTCGACTGCAAAGGAAATGGGTGAAGATAAGCTCTCGTATAGAGGATGAAGGTATCGAGCCAAAGTTCGATGATAATCTGAAACTAGTAAAAGATAGTGTCAATCAATCTATGATCAAGTTTTCCAGCATGTTGCATCTCACCCCTAGAATAGAGCAGTCTGAGAGCTAAACGCATTCATTTATAACGAAAAGAGGTCTCAGAGAAGTGGATATTGAGAAAGACTTATGGTGTCTGGTAATCCATATAAACTTAGTGAGTGTAGCAGGTTTCGTGGGACATCCCCAACAGATAAGTCACAAGTTGCAAGACAAACACGGTTGTGTTTTACACGTTTGCAACAAGTGCATACAAAGGTGAACTGTGAAGAAGTGACCAATTTTAGTAGTAAGCTAAATATGAAATCAGCGTCATCAAGTTCTGACTACGAATTGTGTGACAACAATGGCGGAGTGAAGAAACCTGTAGTTGCAACTGGCAAGTCACTGATGAATAGAATGTCACAGACGACACCGCTGTTTGTGCAGGAGAAGAGAGTTACAGTTTCAGAGTCCAGTTCTGACTCTACAAGTTTACAAGGTATCACTAGTCAGAGTAAAGGTATATAACCTTTAAGGATTCATGAAGAAGAACCCAAGTCATCTACTGATGTTATTAAAGAGGTTGAAAATGATGAAGTCGACCAGATAGACGACGGTAAAGTTAATGCCTGCGATTATGATCATGATAGTGCACATTTGTGGGCTACTCGCTGATGATTTACGCTGACGGTCCCTCGAATATCCATACCTTCTACCGCCGCATCTTCCTTTAAGTCTACTTCAAGTCGTACAGAACCTTTGTTCAACTCAGCAGTAGTAGGCATTTCCCTCATCCCATCATGATCAACCAAAGACAAATGTGCACTATCATGATCATAATCGCAGGCATTAACTTTACCGTCGTCTATCTGGTCGACTTCATCATTTTCAACCTCTTTAATAACATCAGTAGATGACTTGGGTTCTTCTTCATGAATCCTTAAAGGTTATATACCTTTACTCTGACTAGTGATACCTTGTAAACTTGTAGAGTCAGAACTGGACTCTGAAACTGTAACTCTCTTCTCCTGCACAAACAGCGGTGTCGTCTGTGACATTCTATTCATCAGTGACTTACCAGTTGCAACTACAGGTTTCTTCACTCCGCCATTGTTGTCACACAATTCGTAGTCAGAACTTGATGACGCTGATTTCATATTTAGCTTACTACTAAAATTGGTCACTTCTTCACAGTTCACCTTTGTATGCACTTGTTGCAAACGTGTAAAACACAACCGTGTTTGTCTTGCAACTTGTGACTTATCTGTTGGGGATGTCCCACGAAACCTGCTACACTCACTAAGTTTATATGGATTACCAGACACCATAAGTCTTTCTCAATATCCACTTCTCTGAGACCTCTTTTCGTTATAAATGAATGCGTTTAGCTCTCAGACTGCTCTATTCTAGGGGTGAGATGCAACATGCTGGAAAACTTGATCATAGATTGATTGACACTATCTTTTACTAGTTTCAGATTATCATCGAACTTTGGCTCGATACCTTCATCCTCTATACGAGAGCTTATCTTCACCCATTTTCTTTGCAGTCGAGTAGGTAGGCGTCTCGCTATTACCTCTAGGACTGTGCTCGAGATGAGGTTACTCATGCAATTCATCGAAATCAATGCATTCTTGTAAGTCAACAGATTATCCGAAAACTCATTGAGTGCCTTGGAGTCATCTTGTAATTGACTGCCATTACCTTTAACATCCTCGAATACGTTCCTTACAATCATCGAAGTTCTTCCGAATCTTTGACGCAGTATACTCATGGCCTCAGAGTATCCTTCCTTTAGGGGCATGAACTTACAGCACTGTATAGCTCTTGAAGCAACTCCAGTACAGTACTTCATCAAATACATTAACTCCATTTCATCATTTAATAAACAAACACTCAACATGATCTCAAAATCTTTGGTAAACTGTGGATAGTCACCTTGGTTTCCATCAAAGTCTCGAGTCTCGAACCTAGTTAACTTTAAACCTTTACTATTCCTAAACGGTGAACCATGAACAACGGACTCATCATGATGAGTATCATACCTACCATTACAAGTAACTAGCAACTCATCATTACTTACTTTCCTGTCTGCCTCCAAGACGCCTTGTCCTTTCTTTGACCTTGCATCACTGAACTCGACCAAAAAATCCAGAAAAGTTCCAGATAACACCTGTGCAAAGAAGACGGGCAGACACGAGGAAAGACGAGCAGAAACCATCAGGAACTGTCAGCCAACTCTCAGAAACTGTCGATGTCCAGCTCCTACTACACTGAACCTCACTCTGCCCCTCGAAGACTTTCAGAACCACTTTGTATCGACCAACGCGAAAACCAGAACACAGATTGACGACTCGAGAATCCTTTATTCTTACGCCAGCGTGTAACCAACAATAAGGTTATTATTCACAAGGTCCAAGAATAAATGTTATAACAATAAATTACGATAATACTTCTGATAGTGTTTCTCTGTCTTCCACCGAACAGCGAACGATGAGACGATGACTGATGGATTGCTAACTCCGGCGAAAAATGTAGAGGAATTGGGCTTGAGAAAACAACCACGAATTGATCGTGCAATCTTAAACTGCACTGGCACCCTATGAACTTCGTAATGACAACGGTTTTCGTCTAAACTCCATGCTCCTTTTTACACGTTGCCATTTTTCGCTGGCTCCTCTGCCTAATCATTGTTTCTTACCATTTGATCATTCTATTTCTGATCCATTATATATTCCTCTCTTCCTAATTTTCTTTACTGCTTTTATTCCACCGACGGACTGAATGCAGAAAGAGCAGCCTCAGTTACATTTGTGCTAGTTTTAACACACAACTTGATACAAACTTAGTAAAATTAACCTATCAGATTTACTCGCTAATGTTCATAAAAGTTAGGCAGGCATGTGGTGTGGCGTATCACATAGAAACTCACTGAATACCAGAGACTAGTATCTCACCACCAAGTCGAGCTGGACTTATCAAGCATGTTGGTTGAAATTCCTCTCGGTAGATGCTTTTGTCAATAAGCCTTAGTAAAATTGTGTTATATGCTCTCGGAATTGATCGGAATTTTCATTTCCAAACCATTCAGGTTGTTGTCCGCGTTATGTGATCTGACGGCCACACACCCTCAGCATATTGACCACA